AAAGAGTGGCTGAGAGTAGAGTTGCCGACATCCAGGTGAGGAAAATGACACTGTGTATATTAGATGTATGCTTAAGGTAGATCAATTTTGTGTTTTTTATTTATTTTTCTTTTTTTAATTTTTCTATAAAAAGTAAAGGTTCCCTTGCTCGAAAGCCAGTCGAATCCGACTCTAGGGTTGCGGTGCTCATCTCCGTTTCAAAGCCGAAGAGCCAGCGCTGTCCGAAGACGTTTCCGTGGTCATGTGGCCGGCATGACTAAACACCAAGGCGCACGGAATGCTGTTACCTTCCCACCGAAGTGGTACCTATTTATCTACTTGCAATTTCTTGCTTTCAAACTGCTAGGTTGGCAGGAGCTGGAACTAGAGACGGGAGCTCACTCCATCATGCGGCACCCGGGTCTTGAACTGCTGAACTACCGACCTTCCACAGCCTGCAGTTCAGCGTCTTAACCACTTGAGCAATTCTTCTATACTGTTATATAAATATCAGTGTCAAGTATTACCATACATAGGTTCGCCAAAACAATACATCGAAGTGCAGGTTGACACTATGTTCAAACATCCAAACAGCACCTTGTCAGCTTCACAATCACTAGTCCCAGGGGACTCTAGTAATTTACCCCTATCGAATACAGTCTTTTTCAAGGACAGTGATATACACACAAGACATAAGGCGCAATAAATTCTCTTTGTGAGTATAAAACTCTTAAAACAGCAGCATTTTTCTAGGCTGCCTGATAGAACTTGAGAGATATGTTCTCCTAGATAAGTTGTTATGGCCCCGGTCACACGGGCTGGAAAACACGGGGGGGGGGGGGGCAGAGGCATGGCTATTTGTTGCGCCGCAATTAGACGCGCGACAACGCGATTAGATGCATCGGCGGCAACCCACGGTTCCGGCCCTCAACGTGTGCACTGCAAGGAAGACGGCCGGATGGAAAAGCCACGCTGGCGCAATCACACCGAGGGAGTCCGGAGGCAGCCCGTGGCAAACCGTTTATTAGTACCTTCGAGGAGGTATTTTTTTATTGCACATTTTTGGCGGCATGCCACGGGTTGGCCATGGGTTCACTCCACTTGCCAGATGTGGTGGTGTGATTGCGCCCGGAAAACCTGCCATTCCATCGTGGCTCTCCTGTGGCGGATTCGCCGTGTGAACGGGGCCTATGTTTGCCGCAAGGGTTCTACACACCCCGAATTTCCAGGGATTTCCCAAACCAGAGCTGGCAAACCTAGCTGAGAGACAGAGACCGATTCCGCAAAAGCAGTTGTTCCGCCCTCGATTTCCCGTTTCCCCCGGCTGTACTGCTCAATTTCCCACTATTTGCTGCGCAGCCACATTTTGACTCTCATCTCCCGCCCTCCCCCCCCCCATTTCCCCCGCGTCTTCTTTCGTCCAACCGTCCATTTCGTCCAATGTACTGTTGTACTATTGGCTCCAGACTGCATCTAAAAAAATTTTGACCAGGAGAGAAAGGTACACAATCGAACCACTGTTCAAAGGAAGGAACCAATGGCAGCAAATTATCTAAAGTGAGGCCTCTGGTTTATATCTCTGCCTCAGCAGGGAAGATTGCTGAAAATAAACACGACACGCCTCTGTGACCCAGAAGTGATGTAGGGACGTCAGGGATTGGGGGGGCTACACTCTGGTTTTGGGGTGAAACTCTGTGGTAGAATTAGCTTCTACCATAGAGTTTTGCCCCAAAACCAGAGCATCGCCCCGCAACGTCCCCAATATGCCAATGTCACTTTCGGGTCATGTAGGCACGCCATGTTTATTTTCAGCATTCTTCCCTGTTTTGAGGGGTAATTCCCCCCGACTGACCAGTGGTGGAGAGAAGCACCCGAAATCAGGGGACCTTATATCACAGATCTGTCAGCGAGCTGCCATCTTCTTGGGACAAGCCTCGTCCCTTTTCTCCCCCCTCCCCCCTTCACTCATATAGTTGTTATCCTTCTCCTGTTGTGCATCTGTAACTGCCAAGGTTCTCCAGCTGGTGCGAGGTGGTGTTGTGTCTTTATGCTCTGGCTTGTTTAGATTTCCTGTGTGAACTCAACAAGTGTTTATGGAACGGGCCGTTGCTGTTCTCAGGCCGCTTCGCGCCTTTCCTAATCTGTAACCTTACGAGGGAAATGAGCTCATTGGTTTAAACCTTGTTTGAAGTTGCTTTAATACACCTTCCCCTGACTCTTGTAGTTATTCCAAACAATCTCTGTATGTTCATGATCAACCAAGCTTTGGAAATAAATCTTACTTCTTTTGAACGTGGGTCTATTCTCCTGATTTGGGATTTAACAAGATCTTAATTATAAAACAATCTCAACTTGGTTTAAGTTTAAGAATTGACTGTATTATTGCAATGTCTCGAGCCATTCTGTAACAACACTGTTTGACCAGTGAGGAAGGCCAACTGGTTGAAACACGTTTGGTCAGGGTCAATAATGGTCTATCTCTGGGATCAATGTATGATTTTATTCTGAACGGAGGCTATCACGTGGGCCTATATTTGTTTTTATTGAATTTGTAATAAGTGCAAGTATATTTTCATATATTTGGTGATATTTATGCTTCGAGTTTAGACACAGAACTACTAGGCCCTCATATTCTGATTTCCTTAACCTTTTGGTTCTTAATTCTGCATGGCATTTGTACCCAGCTGAGGCACCTCCCCTCCCCCAAATCCCGCCCTCCCCAGGCCCCGCTACCAAAATCTCCAGGTAACCTTTGCCACGCCTAGAGTTCTCTCCCTCTTGCAACACTTACCTGGACAAAGACGGATGTCCTCTTGGTCGGGTCCCACAAGAATTCCACAGTGTTGAGCAATGTAGGGTGGATGTGGGGTTCAAGGATGCCTACGGACATTGGGATATCTGTGGTAGGCCGTGAAGTGAAAAGGGTTAGGTTGGGACTCCGAGACAACCTTCCCCCAAACAAGTGACTGTTTCTATAGCATCAGTTCGGGGGAAGGGGACGTGTAGAACTGGGCACTGATGCCTTTTCCTGCAACCCCCACCCACCCACTTTTCCCACCAGGCCTTAGTTTAAATCCTTAGTTCCCGGTCACAGCTGTAACTAGAGATGTGAAGGCCCGGAAGAAAACCGGAAAAATTTGGGGAAAAACCGTTTTTTCCCCGTTTTTTTCCTGAAGCCCCTTTCCCCCCCAAAAAAATTGGAAAAATTGAAAAAAGAAAAGAAAAAAATTGATTATGGAACGTTTTATTTTATATATGTATGCTATCAGATTGATCTAATTTCTGTGCACTGAGGACAAGCAAGTCCTAGGTTACAAACTGAACTCTCCAATGCAAGAACAAAACGCATTTCTTCCTTTAGGAGGTGCGATTGTCAGAAGAAAATAAAAAAGTTTCAGTTTTGTTTTTGCATGTGGGTGGGTATTCTGTTTGTAATAATAGTTTGGATACACTAGTTGTATGCTAGTTGTGATCATTTCATGCCAAGTAAAAATGTCCATAGTCATATTTTATGTTCCTAAAGTAACAGAATGACTTTCAATCTAGAAAAGACAAAAGAAATGCTAATGTAGCATTTTTTCAATTTTTCAGAAAATTTCCGTTTCCCCCCGAAAAAAACTGGAAAAAAACCAGGGGTTTTTCTGAGCTTCAAAATTTCCGGAAATTTTACATCTTTACCTGTAACCACATAGTAGATATCCCTGCATTTCTCCCAGGTCCATTCCCTTCTCCCCTCGTCTCTCCCTTCCCTCACACCATTGTCTGCTTTGGATTGCTCGTTCCTGTCTGCTTAGCCTTGGCTGAGCGGTAGATACTCTTCTCTGGATGCAGAAGTTTTCCAGTTCAATCCCCTGGTATCTCCCATGAAAAGGATTAGGTAGCAGGTGACAGAATCATAGAGTTGGAAGGGACCTCCAGGTTCATCTAGTCCAACCCCTTGCACAGTGCAGGAAATGCACACATTCCTTCCCCTCCCCAATACCCACAGTGACCCCTGTTCCGTGCCCAGAAGATGACAAAGAACCTCCAGGATCCCAGGGCCAAACCGGCCTGGAGAAAAATTGCTTCCTGACCCCAAAGTGGCGACCGGCAGAGCTATTTTTGGGCAGGAACGCACAGGAACGGAGTTCTGGCTGGCTCCCAAGTTGGCCACGCCCAGCAGGGACTCATTAGCATAATAGGCCACACCCAGTGGCAGGAACTCATTAGGACTGGCTACGTTAGGGGTGTGTGGCCTAACATGCAAAGGAGTTCCTGCAACAAAAAAAGGCCCTGGGTTTTGACAACAAACAAGGTAAACAGAATAAGAAGCAAAAGGTGGGTGTGGCTGGATAACCACACTTCTGGTAACATGTGGGTGCGGCCTAATGTGCTAATGAGCAGTGCTGTCAGGGGTGTGGCCCAATATGCTAATGAGTTCCTGCTGTTGGGTGTGGCCTATTATGCTAATGTTCCTGCTGGGCTTTTTCTACAAAAAGAGCCCTGGCGACCGGCATTTCCCTGGCGTGTAAGAAAGGGCCACGAGAACGAAGCAGTGATGCAACCCTTCCTGCCCTCTCTGCCTAAGTGATGTGAAAGGTCTCCTCTAGAGACCCTGGAGAGCCACTGCCAGTCAAAGCAAATAATGCTAACCATGACAGACCAGTGATCTGACTCAGGAGTTTTGTTTAGGGAGGGGCTGTGGCTCACTGTGAAAGCATCTGCTTTGCAGGCAGGAGGTCCCAGGTTCAGCCCCCAGCAATGTTCCCCCTAATTTTATTCCCCTACTGAGCAGAGCAGTTCACATCCTGAGTGAGCAGAATCTAACTGCTGTAATCTTCAAATGGGCAGTGGCTCCAGATTGCTGCTGAGCGGGGCCTCCTGTGTTAATGAATGGCCGCTCACAGAACGGCCTAGAGGAAACATTGCTGGTATCTCCAGTTGGAAGGATTAGGTAGTAGGTGATGTGGAACATTTCTGCCTTGGAGACCCACCACCAGTCAGAGCAGGCAATGCTGACCTTGATAGACCAATGGCTGTTCAGTATAAGGTAAGGTAAAGGTAAAGGTTCCCTTGCTCGAAAGCCAGTCGAGTCCGACTCTAGGGTTGCAGTGCTCATCTCCGTTTCCAAGCCGAAGAGCCAGCGCTGTCCGAAGACGTTTCCGTGGTCATGTGGCCGGCATGACTAAACACCAAGGCGCACGGAACGCTGTGACCTTCCCACCGAAGTGGTACCTATTTATCTACTTGCAATTTCTTGCTTTCTAATTTCTAGTTTGGCAGGAGCTGGAACTAGAGACGGGAGCTCACTCCGTCATGTGGCACACTCGGGTCTCGAACTGATGAACTACCGACCTTCCACAGCCTGCAGCTCAGCGTCTTAACCACTTGAGCCACCGCAGCTCTCAGTATAAGGTAACCCTATGTTTATGTGTGTGTGTGTGTGTGTGTGTGTGTGTGTGTATTATTAAATTTAAAAACAATAACCAATGAAGTCAGGCCCATTGATAGCTTGGCCCTGGTGTAGACAGTTAGGTACATAACTCCCAGATCACACACTGTGGGGGAGAAAATGTCTTAGGCCAGTCCAGGGGGTGGGCACCACGCCTGTTGAATGAACATCTGGGCCCCGATTTTCACACGGCCATTCTACTGGATTTGTTAAGCAAGTTCTCCTAAGAGGAATTCCCTTGTGAAAGTTCAACTCTGCATTTCCCCCCCTTCAGCATTCCCAGTTATGGATTAAGGGTCTGAGAAGAAACTTAATATAAGAGTACTGGTCAACTTGGAAACAAGAGTCTAAGGACGCAACATCTGTCAGTCCTTCTTTAAAGCAAAGCGAATGCTCCCTTACCAATATCCAGGATGCGGTCCCCTGGCCGGTTCCACCTCCACCCTTCCAGCTGTTGGTGCTCCGTATATTGTAGTCTCCGGTCGTGGAATACCACCCTGGCCACGCTCTGGAGGGGAGGGAAAAGAGGAAAGGAGCATTCCTTCCGCACAGGTGAAGCATTTAGGGCTGCCAGTCTCCAGGTGGTGCCTGGAGATCTTCCAGAATCTCTTTAGGGTTTGGGGTTTTTTTTGGTATTCGTGTGTTTGTGTGTGTGTGTCCGTGCCTGGAAGTCATGGCGACCTCTGGCAACTCCTACTGGGACATGGAGGACATTCAGAGAGGTGGCTCGATAGCCAGCCTCTGGCCTCCTGGCCCTCGTATTCTCTGGAGGTCTCCAATTAGGGTTCCTGGCCCCCAGGTCAGAGCGGGGGATCCCCTGCTCTCGGGGGCTTTCCCCTGCCACAGACCAGCTGGCCAGCAGGGGAACCCACACCCCTAAGCAGGGATGTCGCTGCGATGATGCTCTGGTTTTTGGGCAAAACCAGGGCTATTTTTGGGCCGGAATGCACAGGAACGGAGTTCCGGCTGGCTCCCAAGTTGGCCACGCCCAGCAGGCCACGCCCAGCAGGAGCTCATTAGCATAACAGGCCATACCCAACACCAGAAACGCATTAGGATTGGCTACATGAGGGGTGTGTGGCCTAACATGCAAAGGAGTTCCTGCTACAAAAAGAGGCCCTGGGTTTTGACCACAAACAAGGTAAACAGAATAAGAAGCAAAAGGTGGGTGTGGCTGGATGACCACACTTCTGGTAACATGGGGGTGTGGCCTAATGTGCTAATGAGCTGTGTTATCAGGGGTGTGGCCTAATATGCTAATGTGTTTCTGCTGTTGGGTGTGGCCTATTATGCTAATGAGTTCCTGCTGGGCTTTTTCTACAAAAAAACCCCCTGGGCAAAACTCTATGGTCTGAGGGCAAATTTACCATAGAGTTTCGCCCAAAAACCAGAGTGTTGCCCCCGGCGTCGCCAAAGCGATGACATCGCTTTCGGATGATGTCATCCCATCACACGGCATCCCTGCCAACCCCTGGAATGCCCCCCACATCCCCCTGCCAGTTCGACAAGGGGACCTGTGGCAATTCTATCTCCCATCTAAATATTGGCCAGGGTTGGCCCTGCTGAGCTTCTGAGATTTGACAAGATCGGGCTGGCCAGGATGGCCCAAGTCAGGGCGAGATCTCCCAGAATTTCCATCTGATCTCCAGATGATAAAGGGCTGCTTTGGAGGGTGGGCTCTGTTGACAGGGTATCCTGCTGTGACAGGGTATCCTGATGAGGCCCCTCCCCTCCCCAAACCCCACCCTTCCCCAGGCTCCGCCCCCCCAAAAATCTCCATGAATTTCTGAACCCAGAATCGGCAACCCTAATTCCATTTCAGTGGGCCAAATCAAATACTAAACGACTACATCCAAGAACACTCATAAATTAGGAAAGCTGGCGATATTTGGCTCAAAAAAACAGAAGCTGAGATATTCGAACCGCAAGTCAGTAACCGGAGTGTCAGCCTGAAAAGCCCCATTCACCCTCGTGGCCGTGGCACCTCACAGTGGCAGTAGGTTCCATGGGCCGATTAGGCACGGTGTGATAAGGCATCGTGAGTATCTCAGATTGTTGGGGAAACACCAAACGCTCCCGTCCTCCCTCCTCACCTTCAGCATCTTGCGGCCTTCTGCGAATTCTCCCATCTTGGGGTTACAGAGCATCCGGATCTCGTAAGACTGCCCTGGGGAAGAGAGGACTCTCAGGAATGCGGAGGGACATTTGGACAAACATTCAAACTCTTCCACACACTAAATAATGCACTTTCAATCCACTTTCAATGCACTTTGGTGCAGTGGTAAGGAGCGCAGGCTCTGATCTGGGAGAGCCGGGTTTGATTCCCCACTTCTCCACATGCAGCTGCTGGTGTGACCTAGGGTCAGTCACAAGTTCTTCCAGAGCTATTCTCTCGTGAGCAGTCCTCGAAAAAGCTCTCTCAGCACCACCTACCTCACAGGGTGTCTATTGTGGGGAGGGGGAAGGGAAAGTGATTGTAAGCTGCTCTGAGACTCCTTTGGCTAGTGAAGGGCAAGGTATAATTCCAATCTCTTCTTCTTCAACTGAATGTTACTGTGTGAAATAACGAAATCCACTTTCAGACAGTCACTGGATTGAAACTGCATTGTTTAGCATGTGTGAAAGTGCCCACAGGGCATTATTTAGTGCAGGGGTGTCGAACTCATTTGTTATGAGGGCCGGATCTGACATAAGTGAGACCTTGTTCGGCCGGGCCATGTGTGTCATTAAATGTAATGCCAGGTAGCGGAGATATAAACTTTATAAAGGATGCAACCACAAGGGGTTTTTTTTAAACTTAAAATAAAAACATCTTAAACATTAGCACTCTTGCAATATTTTGTTTATTTAACACTCTCTGATAACTGACACCTCTTGCTCCGAATTATGGCATCAGAGTGTCTGTGCTGTTGCAATCCTGAGTATGCTGTTTAGGTGTGTATCTGTAAGCTGCAGACCTACGACGATGCAGCAGCAGCAGAACTGGAAGAAGAAGCAGAAGACAGCCAGTTCCACTGCGGGCCTGATTTAAGCCCTCCGGGGGCCTGATCCGGCCCCCGGGCCGCATGTTTGCCACCCTTGATTTAGTGTGTGTGAATCGATTAGGTGTGTGTATACCCCAGTGTGAAGTCTGATTTCACATCAGTGCCTGAGCTGTTCAGGGCTCGATCCAACTCCCGTCTCAAGAGGCTAACTCACTGGGCTGATCTGGGCCACATTCAAAGTGTCTGTTTCCGGGCCCCATTTAGAGCATTATTTTATTCTATTTACTTCTTTTATTCCTTTCCTCTCTCTCCAAAGGGAACCCAAAGTGGCTTGCGTTGTTCTCCTCTCCCTCCATTTTATTCTCCCCACAACCCTGCGATGTAGGTTATGAGGCTGAGAGTCTGTGACCGGCTCAGGGTCACTTGGCCAGCTTCCGTGGTGGAGTGAGGGTTCGCACCTGGGCCTCCCAGATCCTAGACCTCCCAGAGTGGCTGGATGGTGCCCTCACTTGCTACATTTAGGGAGGTGTGCAAGGCGGTTCTGTGGCAAGGAACATTGGGGGTGGACTAGGGTTGCCACCCTCCAGGTGAGGCCTGGAGATCTCCAGTTTTTTCAACTGATCTTCAAACTACAGAGATCAGTTCTCCTGGAGAAAAGGGCTGCTTTGGAGGGTGGGCTCTACAGCACTGGACCCCGCTGAGGTCCCTCCCCAAACTCTGCCCTCTCCAGACTCCACCCCCCAAATCTCCTGGTATTTCCCAACCCAGAGCCTCAGGGGATCAGTCTCAGCCGATTTAGCTGGGTGCCTCTATAGCAGCACCTCATTTCTATCTCTTAATGGACTGCGACGTCTTGTGTCCTCACAGCTTATAGTCCCAAAGTTCCATCCCCTTGAGTCAAAGGAAATAAGATAGGGCATAAAGGTTTACTTAAAATAAGAATCTGATATATATATAAAAGACCTAGTGTAGTGGCACTTTCCAGTTCTCCCATTGGCTGTGCTGTGCGGTTCATCAGCCATTGGCCCATCAGCTGCCACTCAAGAGTACTCGCATGCCACTGGCTTGGTGCTGGGTTCACTCCTCTCCCCCACCCACTGCCAGCGTGGACACTCTTCCCTGACAGAATAAACTGCCAAAACAGCTCTCTCTCCTGATGAAGACACTTCTATTTCTGCTTAGCTCCTGCAGTGGGGTTAACTTTTCCCTCAGTGGCTGTTGCTAGGCAATGAAGCTTAGCTCTGTCAGTAAAAAGGCAGGGAGGGGAGGAAGCCCTTTCCAGGCCTAATTTGGCCTTTGTGGGGAACTCACTGGGGCCAGTCCTGATTAGAGTTGCCAGCTCCAGGCTCGGAAATTCTGGGAGATTTTGTGGTGGAGTCTACGGAAGCTAGAGTTTGGGGAGGGGAGAAGTCTCAGCTGAATAGAATCCCATAAACTCCACCTTCTAAACCAGCCATTTCCTCCTGGGTAACTATTGTTGCCAATCTCCAGGTGAGGGCTGGAGATCACTCAGATTTACAACTGCTTTCGAGATGGCAGAGCTCAGTTTCCCTGGATAACATGGCTGCTTTGCAGGGCGGACACTGTGTCATTATACCTTGTTGAATTTTCTAGGTAGAGACCGCAGGGAGGAAGGAGGAGATGGAAAGCTGAAGTCAGAAGGAGAGATAATGGTATGTTGATGATTGGCTAGGAAGGAGATAGGGTTGCTACCTCCAGGTTAGGAAATTCCTGGAGATTTGAAGGGTGGAGTCTGGAGACGGTGGGGTTTGAGGAGAGGTGGTTCCTCAGACAGGTACAATGCCATGGACTCCACCGTCCAAATAAGCCATTTCCTCCTGGGAAACCATTGTTGCCAATCTCCAGGTGAGGGCTCAAGATCACTCAGAATTTCAACTGCTCTTCAGATGGCAGAGCCCAGTTCCCCTGGAGAAAACGGTAAGCTCTGTGTCATTACACCCTGCTGAGGTTGCCACAGCAAACTGACACTGAGTGCCCAAGGCCAGGGAACCCACTCAGAGCCTCTTTCTATAGCTCATTGTATTCATTTCCACAACGGGCCTTATTTCTAGTATATAAATAAGGCTGTTGGACTGGATACAGTCCCTCAGTCTCATCCAATTTCTTTCCTTATTACAGCCCCCTGCCTCATATGCCTTTTCTTCATGCAGGTGGTAGGGATGCCAGCCTCCAGGTGGGACCTGGGGATCCCCTGGAATGACAGCTCACCTCCACGACAGAGATGGGCTCCCCTGGAGGAAATGGCTCCCCAGGCTCCACCCTGAAATCTCCAGGATGGATCAGGCAGCCGTACCCCTTCATTCCCTGCCACATTCTGTTTCATTAGTGTTGCCAACCTCCAGGTGGGGTGTGGAGATGTCCTGCTACTACTATGATCTCCAGATGACAGAAATTACTTCTTCTGGAGAAAATGGCTGTTTGGAAGGTGGACTCTATGGCATTATGCCCCACTGAGCTCCCTCCCCGTGCCCTGCCTCCCCAGGTTCCACCCCCAACATCTCCAGGTATTTCCCAACCCGGAGCTGGCAACCCTGTGATCCCCAGCAGAGCCTCTTAGGGTGGCGAAAGGGAACTCCCTCTCCCGTTTCGCCCCCAAAAATGCAGTCTGGCTTCCAAGCCACTATCTCCTCCCGGCCTAGTTTCTAAGGATGCTGTCAGAACTGCAGAGCTCACACGTTTATGAAACACTCAGGAAAAGTGTGAGTCGGAGACTTTATTATTATTATTTTTTCAAGGAACCTGCTGTTTTGCCTGCCTTGGAAGCGAACCTTTTTGCCGAGTCCTTCCCCCTCTCCAAATGAGTCCCATATCCTCTTCCCAGCTGCCGGGGGAGATAATTAGGGTGCTGTCAAGAATTAAGCAGGAACACCTGTGCACGCTAGTCTATTCCGGGTGCTCTTCAAAGCACCCTTTTGATGCTTTGAGATGGCAAGCGTGGAGCCAATCGGGGCCACATCCTGCACATGCTGGAACGGGTGCCTGGCTCCCTCGGCAAAGCCCCACTCAAAATGCCTGGCGGGGGGGGAGCTTTTCCCCAGCCGCTGCATCCAGGTCAGGTCTGTCGCCTCATGCAAGGTGCACCAGTCCCCTCCTGGGCCCGGGCCCCTGCCAGGCACTGCCTCCTCCGAGGGCTTGGCTTGGCCCCGGCTGGCAGTGGTGCAAGCCCAGGAATGTAGGCTTGCCAACTTCCAGCTGGGCCCTGGAGACCTCCTGGAATCACAACTGTTTTCCAGATGGCAGAGATCAGCTCACCTGGAGAAAATGGCAGCTTCTGAGGTTGGCCTCTGTGACGTCACATCCCTGCTGGGCCCCCCCTCTTCCCCAAATGCCCCCTTCCCAAGGAACCCCCCCAATCTCTGGGAATCTCCATCACAGAGTTGGGAACACTACCAGGGAGTAGGTTTGCCAGCTCTGGGTTGGGAAATTTCAAGAAAGAGGAGGGTGAGGAGAAGAGGAGGAGGAGAAGGAGAAGAAGAGAAGGAGGAGGAGGAGAAAGAGGAGAAGAGGAGGAGGAGGAGGAGAAGGAGAAGAGGAGGAGTGGAGGAGGAGTGGAGGAGGAGGAGGAAGAGGAGGAGGAGAAGAAGAGGAGGAAAAGGAGAAGGAAGAGAAGAGGAGGAGGAGGAGAGGAGGGGGGGGGGGGGGGGGAGAGGAGGACCAGACAGATGGAAACTATCACTGTCCTCAACTAAACACCTGGCTGAACATCTCTGCCTTACAGGCTCTGTGGAATTGCATTAGTTCCCACAGGGCCCAGTTCGACAGGGAGTTCCACCAGCTTGGGGCCAGGGCAGGAAACGCCCAGGCCCTAGTCAAAGACAGCCGAATGTTCCTCAGGCTAGGGACTGGACCACCAGTAAGTTCTTATCTGCCAAGCATAATGCTCTTCAGGGGCTATGGAGCTTACACTCAGGAATGAGGGGCTGAGAGAGCTCTCTCGAGAACTGCCCTTGAGAGAAAAGCTCTGAGAGAACTTGTGACTGACCCAAGGTCACACCAGCAGCTGCATGTGGAGGAGTGGGACATCAAACCCGGTTCTCCCAGATTAGAGCCCGCCACTCTTAACCATGACACCAAACTTGCTCACAGATTTTAAGGGCAGAGACCAGGGAGGGCCGGGTTTGGGGAGTGACCTCGGCCGGGTATGATGCCACAGAGCCCACCC